CATCAAACCCCCTTCGGTCCTGGCGCCGCCCCTGCCTGCCTCATAGACCTTATTAAATAGTAATAACTTACGACGGTCCATAGTTGCAAACGATTATCCAGACATTTCTTCTTTCCGGTTTTGACTGTTCATATGCTGTTTCACAAAAAATACGACCACAGCCAACCGCATACGAATCGTCCCAAACCACCTTTAAAAAAATAATCATAATTCTTAACATGATTTTTTTTCATGAGAGGCCTATGGTGCCAACAAAAGAAAATCCTGTCTGTACAAATGTCAGCTTTAATAATAAATCACTTATATAAAAAACGAATTTCGTTCGATTGGTCTATGAATTCTACCTGTAAATAATAGTTTTATTCGTTTACAATAATAACAACTAAGTCAACAGCTGAAATGCCAGTGAACACTTAAATCACGTTGTCTCGATTAGTGCACTAATCCACTATTTGGTTGCAATACAACAACCAAATGTCTCGATGAACTCATTTTTAATTCATTAGTGTGTTCGTTTTGAATATAGAAATACAGTAGAACCTATTCTTTGGGACACCTCCTTGGGGACACTATATTAAGGGGATACTTCTCCTTGAAAGAGGGAAAATAAATATTTTAATACTACGGCCCAACCCTAATAAAGGGACATCCCTATTAAAGGGATGGGTACGCTTTCTAAGTATGCAAAATGGTCAAATCAATACAATTAAACCCATATTAAGGGGATACTTTTATTGTATTAAAACAAATACAGTAATAATAAAAAAACACAACATTTTGACACCTTTTGAGCAATAAACTTAACATCAAATCTGAATTTTCAATCTTTAAAATGGATATTGGTATGCCTAGTGCATAGGCCTATGTTGCTTCGTATAAATAAAACCTTGTCTTTTTGACCATTAAATATGGGATTTCTTGTTTTGTGTATTTTCATATATGATCATAATCTAACCATACAGCCTGCACCCAAGTCATTACTCTATTCATACTATTCTCTCTTGTGCATCCAATAGAAATCTCAACTTATATTGTTATATATTTAGTTATAATTCAACCATACTAAAAAGTGTCCCCTTAATAGGGGTTCTACTGTATAAGTATTATCTTGGTTAAATAGTTTACAAGAAAAAACATAAAATCTACAAATTAAAAAAAAAAATAAAAAACAAGTATAACATATCTAAGTAAGTAATAGTCCTATAAGAGAATATTAAGAAGAGGACCCATGTTCACAGGAAGAAAATTTGTACACATGGGAAAATTGAAGCATTAAAGAGATAGAAACAACTAGATATTTTGGAAGACCAGGGAGTTAAAACAACTGACCGACCGATACCAACGTGGAACGGTGAAAATGTTTCATTATGTATACCTGAGTATAATGGCCACACAGTTTTTTTTTAGCACATTTGCGTGTCTTGTAGTCGTAGTGTCGATACTCATTGTACCAGGCGATCGTGGCATTTGTTCCACTTGGCATGTTTGTGGGCTTACCACTTCCAAGCCACAAGTTTTGCCCAATTTTAGAAAATGACGAGGTGTTGTTCTCCACCTGGCCATGGTCCCAGATACATAGCTCTGCATACTGCTGCGCCATACTGGCCAGAGGTTGGTCCCAGTTCTAAATGTCAAAACATGATAGTAAAATGAAATTACAGTTTGAAAATCAAACTAAAATGTAATTATTAATTCAGGAAAAGCGTGAATTATACCATTATTCTAATTTACCAGCAAACAATATTTCATTTAATCTTTAATTGCCGTCTACTCGATAGATTACTG